ACCAAGGGCTGCAGAGGAGAGCAGTTGACAAGCAGCAAGTGGGTGAAGACTATTGAATGTTCCAGTGAAAAGGGAATACACAGAAAGTAGGGAGGTGGTCTAGTAGGGGGAAGAGCATGGGTCTTGGGATCAGACAACCCTAGTGCAATTCTCCACCACCAGTGATGATGCTCCCCACCCCACCCTGGCCCCCCAGTGGCCAGCCCTACTCAATATCCACTCACCTAACAAGGGAAGCATGTGGAGTCAGCCATGTTTACTTCTGCTAAGGGTAGGTCTAGTCTAGTTGGTGGCTGGGGACACTCAAATGGCCTCAACATTTAATTCCCTCTGTCTGTGCACTCTCCCTGGGAACTTCTATTCAAACCTATGGCCTCCTTATGTACCAGTCACTCCCGGATTTCTGCCTCTAGCTCCAACTTTCTCCTGGGGTCTTGACATAACTTTCTGTCTTGCTGGTCATCTTTGCTTCAGCATGTCCACCTTAAATCTACCTTTTTTTCATCAAACATGTTCTTCCTCCTGAATTTCATAACTTGATTGGTAACATTCTCACTGACCCAGAGGTTACAAATTGAATGTTTTTGTACCGCCTCCCCCCAATTTATATGTTGAAATCCTAACCCCCAATGTGATGGTGTTAGGAGTCGGGGCCTTCAGGAAGTGATTAAGTCATGAGGATGGAGCCCTCATGAATGGATTTAGTGCCATTATAAAAGAGACTGCATGGGGACTTCCCTGGTGGCACAGTGGTTAAGAATCCGCCTGCCTACTCAGGGGACATGGGTTTGAGCCTTGGTCTGGGAAGATCCCGCATGCCACAGAGCAACTAAGCCCATGCACCACAACTACTGAGCCTGTGCTCTAGAGCCCGCAAGCCACAACTACTGAGCCCATATGCCACAACTACTGAAGCCTGCACTCCTAGAGTCCGTGCTCCGCAACAAGAGAAGCCACTGCAATGAGAAACCCACGCACTGCAATGAAGAGTAGCTTGCCGCAACTAGAGAAAGCCCACACGCAGCAACAAAGACCCAACACAGCCAAAAATAAATAAATAAAATAAATAAATCTGAAAAAAAAAAAAAGAGAGAGAGAGAGACCCCAGAGAGCTCTCTTTTCCCTTTTGCCATGTGTGGACACAACGAGAAGCAGGCTGTCACCAGACACTGAATCTTCCAGAACCTTTATCTCAGACTTCCCAGCCTCCAGAACTGTGAGAAATAAATGTTTGTTGTTTCAGTCATCCAGTCTATGGTATTTTTGTTATAGCAGTCCAAACAGACTAAGATACCAGGTGACTGATTTTGGAGTCATCTTCCACTCCATATTCCTCACTCCCTACATCCAGTCAGTCACTAAGCTCTGTCAATTCAAATTCCTTACTTGGTGGTCTGAAAATAGATCCCCAAGTTCTTTGATATTTCTCCCATTGACAGGTGAGTCTATGTCTCTTCCACTTGAAACTAGACTTCTGTGACTGTTCTGACCAGTAGAGTGTGAAAGTGACACCATGTGACCCAAGGCTAATCCATAAAAGGTGGCTCAGCTTTGGTGGTTTCCTCCTTGGAACTCATCAGCAAAAGGCCTTCATGCTGTGGGGAAGCCCAAACTAGCACATGTGAAGGGATTGCATAGAGAGGCCCTGGGACAGGAAGAGACAGGGATGCTTGGCTAGCTCTCACCAACTCTGCCCTTCCACTTCTGAGGTTCCAGCCACCATCTGACTACAACTATGATAAACCTCTGAGTAGATAAACTGCCTGGCAAGCCCTTCCCAAATTCTGACCCACAGAAACCATGAGAGTTGATAAAATAATTGTTGTTGTTTTTAGGAATCTGAAAAGAGGGTTCAAGTGAACTTATCTACAAAACAGAAATAGAGTTACAGATGTAGAAAACAAAACATGTTTACTTACTGGGGGTAAGCCGGGGGAGGGGAGAGAGAAATTGGGAGATTGGGAGATTATACACACTACTGTATATAAAATAGGTAACTAGTAAGGACCTACCATGCAGCACAGGGAACTCTGCTCAATGCTCTGTGGTGACCTATATGGGAAAAGAATCTAAAAAAGAGTGGGTATATGTATATGTATAGCTGATTCACTTAGCTGTACACCTGAAATTAACACAACATTGTAAATCAATTATACTCCAATAAAAATTTTCAAAAAGAGAAATATTAAAAAAATAAACTGTAAAAAAAAAATTGTTGTTGTTTTTAGCCGCAAAGTTTTGGGGTAAACTATAACTTAGCAATAGTAACTGGACCGCTTACCATCCATCTCTTCCGTCCTACGACTGCCACCTCAGGCCCTCATCACCTTGCATGGCCAGTGGCTGGCACAGAGGAGGACTAATCATCAGTTTTGCCTGAAGGAAAGCCAAGTCCATGAGAACAGGCTTTGTGGACAAGATTAGGATCTTAAATCTAGTTAAGCCAGAATTTTCTGACAATAGATTTCTCTCTACATTGTAAAACTACAGATCTACGATCCAGATAAATCCAAGAACGATGAGACACGTGCCTCCACCAGAAATGAACAATGAAAAGGAAGAGAAAAGGTTTTTAAAAATGAGTATTATCAGGTCGTATAAGAATGATTTGTTTAGAGTTGGTTCAGATCATTTTTTCTCCCCAATTTACTCGTTTTGTTGTCTTGTCAGTTGAAATGAGTCCAGTTACTTGAGTTTTTCTTCCCAAAGGGCAAAACAAAGATTGTCTTACATTTTTCTTTTCATGCCAGCTGGTACTCTCCAGTTACCGTTGGAGACATTAAGGTTTTAACTTCTGTTAATCCTTAGACAACACTAAAAGAATTCAGAGAGCTTCTGATTTACACATTTAGTGAGAAACAGCCTTCTGATTCTTATTGCCTTTTACATGTTCCATTTTTCAGGTTTATCTATTGGAATGTAAAATTTCAGCTCTTTTATAAATTGCATATTAATATTTAATTTCTTATATCATTTTGTTGTTACCGGATAACCACAATTGCTACAAGGAACAATAACAGAAGATGCGTTAACTATCAGTAGACAAGGACTCAGATAGAAGAAGTAATACACATGAACAATAGACTGTCAAGCAACATCAGCCTCAATGAGCGTGAATTTACAGTCGTGTACAGTAGCCACAATGGCTCTCACTGTTGATTCATCCTCTGATTACTCTGTGTGCACTGTAGACAAAATGGTCTAAATGAAGACCAAGGTAATAAGTGAACTATCTATCATCTCTTTTATTTTTATTCCAAGCTAGGGGAATTGGCAGAAAGAGAACAGTAAATTGAGATCCTGCTGGTTCTGTGTCATAGGACTCTTTTAACAACACTGAAGTCTCCGTGAATTATTTAAGACAGAGGATAGAAAGTAGGACTTTGCAATTTTACTGAAGCTTTATTTCAAGTTCCTTACCACAACTGTCATCTCAGGCTATGGGTTTTTGTTGTTGTTGTTCCGAAACTATCAGTACAAGAACATTTGCTTTCAGTAAAAGGTAGAATGTCCAAGTCAGGAATTAATGGAAGAGTCAAAAATGGAAACAAATATTGTAGGTGCAGGTTGAGAAGTCAGAGGAATATTTTCAGTTACTCAGAGAATCTCTGATTTTAGACCCTCTTTAAGTAATTTTACCACCTTGACATGTCTACTTGGAGGTCCCACAGCATCTTAAACTCACCATAGTTAAAATAAAACTTGCTATTATATTTTCCCCTAACCATTCTACAGCACAACAAAACTAACCCCATCACTTTCGTCTCGATTTTCTTTCTCGCCTTAATGGCACCATAATTTTTCCCCTCACTGGTGCTCATAACCTTACTTCCTGCTTCTGTGTCCACTTACAATATTCAGTCATTGCTGGAAGAGACATTTACCGTGAAGCAGATGAAGCTTACGTTCAGGGCTGCTCTTGTGCACAGGTCTTTTCCAGGGCTGTGGCAGCGGCACAGCACTGTGTTTTTGTAAAGGCCATATGTTTTTGTAAAATTGGGGGAAATAAAATATTTCGGCTGCTGTCTCTTTTCACCGTGACCTCTCCTCGGCCACACTTGCCCTCTTGTCAGGTGCCAGCTTGGAGACTGGGCAAAAGGGATGTCGAATTGAGTTTGGGGATACATTTATTTGGGTTTAATGGGACATATTTATGTGTTCTGGAGGTACTTCTGTTTATATTTAGTTAGTGCTAGTTGTTCCAATGTAGGGAACACCTTCCAGTATATTCCTACTGTCCACTGTGCTGAATCTTTGGTCTCATAATGTAAAGAAGCAAGGCCAGCAGTGCATCATGCAGTGCGGGTGGGGAGAAGAAACAAGACATGAGTGTGTGGAACCAGAAGTTGGGCTATGGAAAGTTCTTTCAGTTCCCAGGCATGTAAAGTTGTAAGCAGATGATTCGCTCCTCATCAACGCCTGGTCAACAGAATAGTTCTTTCCTATCAAGAATGTACTCTAAAATGCAGTGTATACAATTATGAATCCACCATACATTTTTTTCTTTTGCAATGGGAATAGTGAAAAATAGAGTTTATCAGCCTCTGTTTGTATGGCACAAATTGGTAGCAGGTCTATAAATATTAAGTCTGTCTCTAACAACTTACACACAAAATAAATTTAATAGAAAAGTTTTTCAACTTTAAAGAATCCTAAAAATTTACATGACATCACCAGTAACGAGTTGTGAGTCCAAAGAAACTTTTCTCAACTATCAATAATAGAAAACGAATTTTGGTCACCGATGCTAGAGGAAAGACTAAGTTATCTTCCTATTCTCTCCATAGAAAATGGTATTATAAAATATTGGCTATATGAAGAAGCAATCAAGGAGTGTATAGCCAAAAATGTACAGAAATAAGAATTATAGAGGTTTGTCAGGCAGTTCATTTTTAAAAATATGTTGGTTTTTTTCTCGATTTTGTAATTCATGATTTCTTTTCTCATTCTAAATAGATACTCACTTTTATACTAATACTTTATTGTTTTTCTTTATAAAGGAATCATATAAGCTTCTTGATTATATGAACTTCATACCCACCAAACCTGGATTCATCCTGACCCAGCCCTATGGATTCTTCCTCCGTGGTGTTTCTTGACGCTGCTCCATCTTTCTGTTTACTGCAGACATCACCTTTCTTCAGACACCATTTCATCTTGTGGTGGTCCAGCAGAGTAAGTACCAAAAGTGGTTCTCACTGCATCTTCTCCTTACTCTCATCCATGCTGCTTCCTCATATCAGATTACTCTTATTGATAACAGCAACAAGTACGATCTATGCAGTACCTGTTAGGTACCAGGTACTTTATAGATACTGTCTTTAATTCCCACAATCACCCTAATAAGTAGGTATGACTACCATTGCAGAGATGAGGAAATCAGTTCCTTATAGTCCTTAAGGAACTTGCCCAAGGCCACAAAGTTACCACATGACAGAGGCAAGATTCAAACCCAGTTCCCCCAATTCTCAGTCTGCCAATAGCATGCAGCCTCCCTCTTTTCTAAAACGCTCAGCTTCCCTCACTGGTTTCAGAAAGAAACCTTAACCTTCAGCCCTCCACAGTAAGATGCTGGCCTCTCCTTCCAGGAAGATGTGTCACCTTTCCTATTTACATGCCCCCAAGGCAGCCAAATGGAATCCCTGATGGTGCCCAGATGTGGCACATCTTTTCCCTGGCGCTGAACTTTCCCCTCCACAGTAACCCCTTCTCAATTTTCTGCAACCCTTGAATGCAAGTTTCACATGCCATCTCCACAGTCTCCCAAATGGGTGTGATAGCTCCTCCTCTTTAGGTTGCAAAGCATTTTGGTGTTGCTGTTAGGGATTATAGCACTTACTCTTCTTTTGATTTATAGGAGGAATATGGGCACTCATCTGTACATTGTTGCAATCATCTCATTTTATAGTTTACTTAGTTCACTTAATACCATAGACATTCTCCATATTTCTGCACAGTCAGTAGTTTCCATGTTGAATGGCTACATGTTTTATTTTTTGACATGAGTTATTTAAATATTTCCGTATATGCAGACTTTTTTTGTTTCAGTTTTTGTTTATGTTTTTATGGTTGTTGTTGTTTGTTACTGTTAAAGTCAGCATTGGAAAGAACATCTTTGGAATGTAGATTTCTATGGCATTATTTCCCCAGGGTAAAACTCTAGACATGGTCTTACAGGATCAAAGAGCGTGGACATTTTATGACTCCTGTGGCCCTGTTGCTTTTCAAAGGTTTCAAATTTACGTTGTGATTGGTAGTACTGGATTGTACTAGTTTCACCTTAAAGCATTGGATGATATTTAATTTTCTGGTTTTTGCCACAAGAAGGTTGTTCCCTTTGTGTCTTGGTTTTCTTTTTGAGATTGTCTTTTGAAATTGGGGTAGACAAAGGAGGGACACGAAAAATTACGTGAATAAGTTGCTTTAAATTTTTAAAATTTTAAGTTGAATGGTGGAGGAAGGAGACAAGCTTGTGAATAATTTGATACACAAATATATCATAGTCTTCAAATCTACACAACTGTTACCTGATAACCAGGCTCAGTTGGCTGATTGGTTGACTATATGCAGATGCAAATATTATGACTATGCCAGATGTGTAATTGGACAGCCACTGCCAATTAAACGAGGCAGCAAATTGAAGAGGTCTGGGAGATAATTGATTCTCCAAATTAGTAACGCAATTGGTCAAAATTACAATACCTGTTGAAGTTACTTTAAATTTTGATCTAATAGTAATTAGAGGCTTTGCCTCATGTTCTATGAAATATTCCTCTTTGCCGATGAAGTATTAAGGGACTGGTAATTTAGGCAAATAAATGATGATTGCCTGATCAAAGTTGCCAGATTAATATAAAATGTAATGGTAGTAAATTCTCCAATAAAAGAAAATTGTTTAATATCTCTGTAGGGAGGTAGCCAAAAATACATTCTGCAAATATTTGGATACATTTTTTACAAGGTCCAGCAGCCCATTCCATTTTGCAGGTTTTCTTGATAGGTTCATAGACCCATCTTTTTTCTTTTACTATGGCAATAAGTAATAGTGTCTATTCCATGCCTTTGTCATACCTAATTGCCACTTTATTGTTCCCAAAGGGCAATTGGACTAAGACTTAAAAAGCTGAATTTAAAATGACTAATAAGAATTAAAAGAAGGAACCCAGAGATTGCAGAGCCATCACATTCTGATCCTATTTCCTACAGTTATATTTTAAGGTAATTAATAAGAATCACACATTGTTGAGAGAGTAACTGTCCTTTCTCAAGACCTAAACTTTAAGAACCACCTATTTACTCTCATTTGTGACACAGCATGTTCTGATTCTCTCAGATACCTTTGGCCAACCTTTCCCATCCAACACTGTCATTTATTGAAAAGTAAAATTATCTCGATGTTGAGCAGGATCCTGAAAGGAAAAGGAATCTGAAATAAAAACTATTGCTTCTCCACATACTGAGAATTCCACTTAATATGCAGCATTTAGAGTGTGATAGGATTTCTGGCATCTTCTTAATTGTGGCTCCTGGTTGCTTTATAGAAAAGAAGACTACGGCTCAGTCTATGCCCCCTAGAACAGAGAAATCTGGAGAGCACTCACTTTTCACTTAAAAAAAAAATTTTAAGTACCCACTAGTTGCAAGACCAAGTTCTGCAGCCATGATACTTCTGCATAGGTGAAGAATTCGGCTGCCTTGAACAAAAGTTATAGTCGAAACTGTTTCTGGGACTCTTGAGTAAATATAACCTAAAAGTATAACCCTCTACTGCTGCAGAAGCAATGTAAAACTTGAACATGATTTTTAGAATCTTTTTTGACAAAGCAAGTTTCTCCTGGATCCTGGGTAAGTGCACTAGGAAGGAGGCGGCGCTTTCTGTGTTTAGAACTTACTAAGAGTTAGTGAATCCGAACCTTAATCATTGCAATTCTAGTTGGTATGCTCCAAGTAGAGCACTAAATTGTGTTTTAAAGGGGTGAGTAGATGCTTTAAAAATGTTTTAAAAATAAATGTCTGAATGTCAGTTTGGTTTCTGGGTTAAATTGCCTCTAAATTACCCAGTTCTAAAATCGCATTTCAAAGCTTCGGGAAACCCTGTCTGGGGCCTGTCTAGACCTCAGAATTGGCCTGGTTTGTTTTAAGGTTTCAACAAGGCCCCGGCCTGCTGGGTTTGCCTAATGCCAGGGAGAGGCATGTGTGAGACGTGATGCAGATTTCTGAGGTACTGTTGTGGTTTTTTTTTTTTATTATTAGTATACTCTGTGTGGAAAAACAATTTAAAATATGATATCATGGTATATTTCTGGAATTGCATTATCCCTTGTCTTCAGAGCTTCTTAAGTGAAGAAGGGCAGAGTGGTGGATCACAACCAATGAAGTGGGATCAGAGGCCTGGCTTCTAGTCTGACACCATCACTAACCCACTAGGATCTGGAGAAGTCACTTAATCTCTCTGTGCTTCATTTCTAAAATGAGGACATTTAGAATATAAACTCTCTACAGTCTCTTTGGTTCTATGCATCTATAATATTACAAAAAGTGCTGACAAGTTTTCTAAATTTTATTGTATGCAATATGTTTTAACTGGAAAACAAACCAACAGTTCAGCTCTAACTATATACCAGGCGAATCTAAACCTTAGAATGGACTTAGCAGCTGGGCTGTCATGAGTTAGTAAATAGGGGTTTATGGAGCCTCAGAAGCTCATGCAATTAGGGCACCAAGCCACTTGGGGTTATACATCTGTCACAATTGGTGTGATGAAAGATTCTAACTGAATATACACTTTTAAGACATAGACAAGCTTTGGCTATTTTTTTTAAAGTAAAGTTTTGGAGAAAACTAGAAACATTGATCAAGTCAATTAGCTCATACCTTAGCAGTTCTGCTTTGCATGCATTTGACAGGATGGAACATTCATAAATAGGTATATTTAAGCCCCTTTCAGGGCTGGATTATATACTAGTCTGGCATGTGTGACTTCTACATTTCTTTAATTACTGCTTCATGCAGCACCTGCATTACAAGTCGAGCACTGTGGGTCTGGTGGGCCCAACTCACACTGAAGGGATGAAGGGTATCACTCATGTCTGTTGCCTGATCCTTTGAAGTTGGACAGGTAAGCGGGTCAGTCATTGGAGGATGGACAACTGGGCATCATACTGGGCCCTGTCATTCTGGCCAACAGAGGTGTTCCCTCAACAACCAAAGCCATTTACACATGAACTTTGAGCAAGGAAGCTCCTGGCATACAACAGTGCTCCTACTTCTGGCACCTCCATCCTAATTTATGTGGTTCTTGCTTTGTGAGGAAACCTCATCTAGAGAGAGATATATTCACTGTCTACCTAGGGAAAATGAGAGGAAGTCTTTTTAGCTAGTTGAGAAAAAACACTCTTCTGTCTCATATAATACCTATTGAACAGACTCATTGGCTAATTGTTAAACTCTCTTCTTTAGACCCATTTGGTGATGTGAATTTTCTCTTGAAGCATATCCGTGAAACTCTGTCTCATAAGAAAATTGGCTATAGAATGAAAAGTGAATGAAACCTGTGACAACAGTGTTTTACATTTTTAAGAAATTGAGGCGCAGTTCACATAACATACATCTAACCATTCCAAGGTGTACGATTCAGTGGCAGTGCACTGAATTCAGTGTTGTACAATCACCACTTTCTCTCTAGTTTTCAAAACTTTTTCATCATCCCCAAAGAACACCCCATACCCATTAAGTAATAGCTCCTCATTTCCTCTTCCCCCATCCCCTGGCAACCCCTAATCTACTTTCTGTCTCTGTGGATTTGCCTAGTCTGAATGTATTTTAGGTTTTGAGGAGCTACTTTTATTCCAAAGTATTCAGCTCCAAAAGATATGAAGGAAAAGAGTATGGATCTGAAGAGAGGGCGTTTCTGTGATTATTAAATGTTTATCTGTCAGGGCCTCCGGCTTCCTTCCCTCTGAATTACAGCCACCTTCAGAGCACAACAGGCTGCTGACCAGCCAGGAGGGAAGAGTGATGTCCATTTAGAGTTCCAGGAAAGGCATAAATAGGGCCGAATAAAATGATTTTAGTTGGAGTTTGGTAATATTCAAGGGCTCGTTAATGGGGATTATGAACAAAGTGAGGAATGTGCTCCCAGCTGCCACCAAGTTATCAATGTGGTAAAGGATGGC